CTTCACAAAATAGTTAATGCATATTCGTGCATGTCTTCATCTGTTACAGGTTAACCATCTCAATCTACTTTCCCTTACTTGTTGCCTCCCCTCTGTTATATGAATCCAGATTAGCTGAACGCTTTAGCTGTTTAGCAGGCTGTGGAACCAATCATAACGCCCCACCCCAGGGCCCACAGCTAGGGGTTGAATGTATGTGGGTCCCATGTATTTTATGATTGACATGGAACATTATTACTGGTTCCACAGCCTGCTGAACAGCTATTGCATTCGGCTAAACCTATCACCTATTATATTCCTTTCATACCTAAGCCTCCTATTTTGCCACCCATCCATCTCAGCATGTTCACTTTTGTTGTACTCATTCTGTGTATGAGATCGTTTTGTTTGCCTGGTATGTTGCTTCATGAGTCATGACAAGGAAAAATCAACACCACATGTCCCCTTCAATCTCTTGGTATATCTGGATCATAGACCAAGCCTTATATGTGGATCATGCAGCAAGCCTAAAACACTTCTCTACCTTATCCATCCTGCCCTATGGCTGCATTTAAGAATTGAGATAGGACCCTTCTATGCTTCCTAAAGGGGAAATACTTCTGTCTTTTATTTATATTTGTTAATTTAAGTAAAGAATACAAGTACTATTTGTAAAAGGGGAAGGATCTATTTTCACTGTCTGCGACAAAAAAGAATCACAGGATTTCTTAAAACTGGGTTCACTCCCTTCATGATGTCAATGACTCGATCTCTATTGTAGTAGTGTAATAGTTAGTAGAGATATCTATGAGTATAAAATCCAACTCAATCGCATGAAATATGTTTTATTTTTTCTAGATAACCCCCATCAAGTGTGATAGAGTTGCTGCTTGATGCACAAACTGGGATCATCTGGGGCAGAAGGAGCATCCAAGAACAGCAAATATGAATTTTTCTCTACTTTCCAGGTCCTATTGGAGTGGTGTGGGGAATTCTATTGAATCAAGGTTCCTTCTCTTAGATCGTCCCCATATTAGAGGATTGAGAATTGAGATACAGGATAACTTTCATGTCATGACATGGTGAACTGCTATGTCATTGACATCCAGGTAAACACATTGTCCACTTGGATTCCATGGCTTGCAAATTTCATCTTTAATGATAATGCAAATCTAGCATCACCACACCTAATCATACTAGGAAAACTGAGAACTCCGTTTTGCTGATAAAAGCTTAAAAGTGTATCTTGACAAATCAACCCTAAGTCAAGCATTACATCATTGATATTCTAAAAGCAGTCATAAAAATGTACAAAAACTATATAAACATTCCCAAGGCTATCATCCTCAAGCAGCATAGTTCCATCATCGCCATTAACTCCAAGTCTCTGACCACCACACTCCTGATCCTTGAATTGCTGGAAGCATCAAACAACAAGTGATGTAGAACTGCCTACTCTGATACCAAATGGTGTAGGATCACCTGCTTAAATGCCACTTGATGTAGGATTCGAAATACCATGTGTAAAGTGACCAAAATACTCCTGTTGTCCAAAATTACAAAAAAATACATAAAAATTCTGATATTTCCAATTGTGACTCTTTGTCTCCTGCATCAATGAATCAATTGAAACATCATCGCCATCTGCCATGTCAAAACTACTTGGTGTGGCTAATCTAAGGTTCCATTTCCTAGGTGAATCAAGCACTTTCTATCTCAAGACACCATTCACCCCAACCTCTCCTATTGTTATCAGTTATCACCACTTACCAAAGGAGAATGAGCAAACAGAAAAAGTGAAGAAACAATTCTATCCACTTTGCCCATATTGATGTAGTTGGTTATCTCCTTCCAAATGGAGCTAAAAAAACAAAGAGTAGCAGATACGCCTTTACAGTTTTGCCCTTTAACTGGCCATGCCACCAATACTGATGTCAATGCCATGTCATGAGAAATCACCCTTTCTCTATGATTAGAATAACAAAATAGTGGTCTGCTTTCAACAAAAAAGCAATACTGAATCAAAAAGAAATTGAGTAGATGACTTCTCTTCAACCCTAATGGTATCATAAGTCATAGAGAAAGTTGAGTCCAATCAAATTGTAAATATTAACAACCATACCTTACCATAAAAAGAATATCATTTTCTAGCAGGGGCTTTAAAATAAGTCTCCGTTAACAAAACTAAATAGGAACAAAGAAATGACAAAGCAGAGAATTAATTCTTAATTGAATTGGTTTTGAACTGTATAAATCATAAGACTCATTAATCAAATTGTAAGATTCAAACCAAACTTACGATTTCTGCAGAAAAGGATTCAAATTTAAGATTCAAATTAAAACCCTAGGGATTCAAAATTCAAATCATGAATCATATTGTAAATCACAAAATTTTGACAACATTCAATACTAAATCAAGAAGAAACTGAGCAAACAACTTCCCTTAAACCCTACATGAGGAGCACAATTATCTACAATATGTCTTCTAGAAGTAAGATGACCCACCTGAGTACTTTACCAACAAAGGTGGTCCACATTAAGAATGAGGTCTTGGGAAGGATATGAGGGTTCCAAATAAAATTCCCAGGAAATTTGTAATTTCATTGCCCTTGAAGCATATAAAATTGAATGCACTCAGAAAATGTGTGTGGACAAATGCTATTTTTATTTATCTGCAAACAAGTCAATCATCTTATCTTCCCTTACTCATTAACATTTTGTCAGAATCATGCTATCCACAAAAACATACCACCAGCCTTCTCAAAGGCCGCAGCAGTCCCTCACCACCACTCTCTTTCTACAGAAAAGAGATATATGACAAAAGAACCATAAAACCACTCAGCCCTTCAAATGTGAACCTACCCGGTTCTATAACTTGGAAAGAAGTGTAACTGTTGAAATCTGCCAACACCTATACATTGCCTCTAAGAGGCAGCACAAATAGGAGATAAAAATAGGTAAACTTTCACATCTTAATCCCCTATGCACATATTAATAATTGCCTCCTCAAAAGTTTACTCCCCAACCCTCCAAAGCATTTAAGATATTTGACTCCATTAAATGATTAATAAAGATTTCTAGCATCTAAGAAATCTAAACTTCAACTGAATTTTCTGTTGTTTCATGATGGTAACTTTTATCTTGAAATAAGCTTGCTTTTGGCATTTTCTTCATTTGATGGTGTTGGTTCAGAAGTACATAATCCCAAACAATCCTACAAACAAAATTTACTTAAAATTTATGAAAGATACAAAGAGAAGTTAATGAATTTGATTGTTTTGATTAATGGAAAAGTCTCCTTAATACCACAAAATCATCTCTCCAAGTTGCTTCCTTCCTTCTCATTTTGTGACCAAAATATCTCTATTAAACACGCATAAAAATTTCCCCCTAATGTCCTTACCTAGAAGTTCTTATTAATCCCAAAAGAAACAAAATTACACAGCGTTGAACACTAAATCAAACCTGCTATTTAACTTGTCACTCATAGAAACATAGAACTTCAAAATGTTTAAATATCATTATCATATATTATATATCATAGGTCAATGCCATTGAACAACACAGATTGATGCTCATATAGATCTTCATTGTTCTTTTTTCCCATTAAACCATTTAGTGGAACCAAGTCAGATGTATTAACCTTTTTCAGTCAATGGGGACCAAAAAAGATTAGCGATTGAAAAATGGAGTGCCAAACTGATGAGCTTTGTAGCAAAGTACAATTAGTCAGAAGATCTAGAAAGGAAAAGATAAATGAGGCATGGTTACTATTTAACAGTGGAAATAATCTAGCAAGAAAAGAGCGACTAAGGTAATAAATAGTATTCATAAAGACTAAGTAATAACATTCATAAAGACAAAAGAAATGATTTTTTTAACATAAGCCCTATTCCTCAGTTGAAGGTCATTTGGCACTTGCATATTTTTTACTTTTCCATTGAAGGGATTACAGAAAATTTGCGTGCGTGTTTATTTTTTTTCTAGTCCAAATGAATATGTGAACAAATCTTTATCAACATACTGGTATAGATGCAGTTAGAAAGATCCCATCATAACCAATTAATAGTGGAAACTAACGCACTAATTGACAAAGGGTAGGCAAGCATTAAGAGGATCAGAAATAATTGTTCAGGGGAAAAAACCAAAACCTAACAATTCTAAACACTGAATCAAGACAGGCACAAAACAAACTTGGACATCAAACCAACCACTCTTTTTCTTTTGGATTTAAAACCTAATTCTCCTGTCCCAGTATGGCATCTTTTAACAGGCATGTGGAATCCAATGGACAAAAAGATCAGTTTTTCATTAAAGGCATGTTGACATATAAGTATGCTATGGCATCTCCAAAGTCCAATCCAAATGATTTTTAAATTCTGAGTCCACTAGTCATTTAGCAATAGAAAATACAAAATTTTATAGACCTAGTTGCAAGTTTAAACAATAAAACACCAATCCTTGCTGTTTGAGATGAGAGTAGTGGTTTCTTGCAAGGCATGTGAAGTTTAGACTTTAGAAACCCTTCATAGACCCAGTCATATATTTATTCAAACCAATGAAAAGATTGAATGGATGCAAACTAATTATAATTACTTTATCTCCATATCCAGCAATTCCAGTCTAGATGGAATTACATGAATTGGCACTAGGGCTGTGAAATCAATGTCCAAACCCAATTTATTGTGTCGGAATTGTTGGTTTGCATATACCTTGCTTCTTCAGTTGCACCAAAATCAACAATTCATCAAGCCATATAAGAAGAAATAAAACCCATTAGATTATATAACGTTAAATTACTCCAATGAACCCATAAATTGGCGACTTGGAAGAACATCCAAAACAATCAAACAAGGTCCAATCAGCAGTTAAGACACAATAGAAATTCATGCAGTAAAACATTAAAACTACCTTCAGAATCGATGTGAGAGAGAGTAAATTCATAAGAGACATGAGCACCATTCAATCATTCCACTCTCAACACGATAAACCACCACAAGTATGAAACAGACAAAATGTACCTTTCGTTACGATTAAGGCGTGCACCAAAATAAAAGGCCACAGAGAGCAACCAAGAATCACTGTGCACAGCAACCAAGGAAAGCCAGTCTTTGCGGTTCATCCCGTCTCTTGCGAAATTGATCCCCAATGCGGGCTCTGGAAGCTCTGGGGGAACTTCCTCTGCAGGAAGAGTGACTTCCCAAGTCTCATTGGGATGGCCGTACAGGCACAAATTATCTTTTTCTGCAAACATGCCAAAATAAAGCAAAAGGAATAAAAGTTATAAAAAAATCAAAAAAAAAGGAACCAAATTTTATTAGAATTTAATTTATCCAAACCAACAACGACCAAAGCAAATAACCACGCGAAACCCAAAGTAGCCAGGGAAAACACAACGGTTCGAAACAAAGGAAAATAAAATTATTATTACGTAATACGCATTTACGAGAATGCCGATCTATATTCAAAAAGAACAATTAACAGTAGAATTAAAAGATGAACCTACCTGGATCGCAAAGTGCGTAGAATTCATCGACATCTGATAGAAGAAAAACACACAGAGGTCAAGAGAATCAACAGATATCAATATATGCATATTGAGAGAGAGGTACAGAGACGAAGACTAGGGTTAGAAAATAAAATGGACTTGATGCAACGAGTACCGTAGATCAAAGCTCGGATGATGCCTTCTCTTCGTCCACTATAATCCTTGAAGATCTCTTCTACCGTACGAGGACCCGAAGAAATCGAAGCCATTTCCATGGCGAAGGGTGATTTGTACGATCCGGCTGACGTTTAAAGTTGGAAATAGGGATCGATGGTCTGGTGGATTGAAAACTTTGATGGATTGGCGTTGCAGAGATTACTGAAAGGAAACGAGGAGAGCATTGTTTAGCAAGGTGTCAGACACCAAGACCCATCGAAGGGAAGGAGCGCGACGACGAGGCCTTCTAATGTACTTTTCTTCTTCTCTTTAACCTTTCGTCTTTAATAATTAGAAACACCCCCCTGTATTATGGGGTCAGTGACAAATACGCCCTTTGAACTTTCATTTGTGACAAAACCCCTTTCTAACTTTCACTTTGCAAGAAATGCCTCTTCCTAACACTTCAAAAAAACATTCTCATTCAATTGTTTAGAGTTTTTTTTAAATCCAATAATTATGATTTAATTAATTTTCTAAATTAACATTAAAGTCCTCTCGGTTTGCTTCAATTTTTTTTACGGTTGCTTCAATAAAATTCTCAATTAGTACCTTTTACTTTGGGCCTAGTGTCACTTTGGTTTCTGAACTTTTAAATGCAACAATCCAGTGCTTGAACTTTCAAAACATGCCAATTTATTATTTGTCGTTAATAGTCTGTCAATTATTTATATCACATGATGACATATACGATTTAAAACTTTTAAAATATCAACACTATCCTTAAAAAAACATTGTTCATCATCTTCTATCTTTGAGATTGGAATAGTGCTCCATGACCCAAATCAGATCTTGAAGAGAGACTGCTTGAGAGAGAGAGAGAGAGTGTGTGAAGGGTGCTTACAACCAATCAATTTTCACAAAACTGCCTCTTGTCGCTCAATCATTTACGTTCCATAGAACTGTTGAGGAAGAAGATGATGAACATTGTTTTAGTTTTGAGAAAGGCATTTGTATCTTTTCACATGCCACTTAATAGTTGGTTAACAATAGGTACTAGATTGACACGTTTTGAAAGTTCGGGTACTGAATTGTCATGTTTTAAAGTTCAAAGACCAAAGTAGCACTAAGCCCAAAATACAATGTACTAATCAAGAAATTACCCTAATTTTTATATTTTAAGATGAGGAGAGACACTCATGTTAGTTAAATGAATCAAGATTTAAAAAAACAAGTTCTTCTATGCAAAACAAGGTTTATATGGGTAATTTGGTAATTTAATGCATTTCCTCGTTTAAATTTAATGGCTAGCGAGTATTTGTCGCAAAGTAAAAATTAATGGGTTTTTGTTTCAAATGAAAGTTTAGGGGGTATTTGTCTCTTTATAATTTAACTTTTTAATTAATTACTCAACGTACCCATTGATTTACATAACCTACTTAAATACCTCTAAGATAGGGCAATTTCCTTAAACTAACCCTACTATTTAACTAATTGACTAACCCCACCCTTATTGTTTAGCTATTATCTTAAAGTACCCTTAAAATTTTTGACAATTGTCTAAGACCTCTCTTGCCGTTAATTTTCTATCACACTTTGTTCACATGTGACATCAGTGAGTGGTAATTATTTTAAAATTCCTAAAATACCCTTATTATTCACCGCCGCTGTTGGAAGTTGCAGCAATGGCGATGATTTTGGTTGTTGAAGGGAGCGGAGGAAACCCTGATCCCTTTTCCCTTTCTTCCTTTCTCCCTCCTTCCATCTTCAAGGTTGTTGTTGCCGAAAGTTGCAGCGGCAACAACGATTGACCTTAAACAAAGAAAAGAAACACCAAAAACTCGCCCAAAGCCCCAATTTTAAAATTTTCATGTTCCTGTCCTCAACTCATAACCTATGTGAGAACCCCTAGAATCTTTAGTAGTTCTTTGCCAAAACCAATCCAAAATAGTAGGGCACTAATGTCGGTGTTAGCCCCACACTTCCATGCTGGCTTACCCATTACTATCTCCGATACGGCACAACCAAGAGCCCATATGTCAGCCAGCGCCTCGTGTTCATTATAGGTGATGGATTCCAACAACATGTAAAGCATAGTACCTCTTAATCTAAATGTCCCACCTTTTGTTCTCTTGCTCTCTTGTCCTGGTCTTCCCTTCTTTGCCAGCCCAAAATCAGTAACTTTAATCTCGTTGCTTCCATCCGGAGAAGGACAAAGGAGGAAACGAAAGCCTCAGAGAATTGATCTCGTGTAACGTCAAACATCAGATTCCAATAATGAACCGCCAGATTTTTTGAGCAAATCAGCTAAAGTACCTCTAGAAGCGTACTTGAGAAAGATATTGTAAATTTGCTTTCCATTTTCAACGGTAAGATGGGTCAGATCTCTTTCTCCACTTACAGCGAGGAAGACTTGTAAAGTACAAGGATTTCACTACCATCAATTGAGTAACCTGAACCAACAGACTGTTAAATTTATGGTGGCAAATTTATGGTGGCAAAGCTTCCCCTGCCATCGGGCTTCCCTCTCTTCCACTCCATGGATTTTGCTGGGTTTGACGTGATGCCAATGCATGATTGTCCATCAGTAAGGTTTTATTTTAAAATTTGAGGAATAATAGAAGACAAATTGGATATTTCATTTCTTTTCATTAGCACTTAAACAGCAATGTCAAATTTCAGAAACAATAAGGATACTTTAAAACAATACGTAAACAGTACAGTTAATCAATTTTACAAACAGTAGAAATAGTTTAAAGAAATTGCCCGACATAATATAACAAATGTTATCCCTCCCTCCGTTAATAGACTGTTTACATGTGTAGTCACATCACATTTTTAATTATTCGACAACTCAATTTTGCACTCACAACCGACCTTACCGGTTTCAGATGATTGGTGATGAAATTTCCGGTGAGAACCAGAGAAGCAATAATCGATTGAGAGACCACCACCACTTTGAATCGAAATTAAGAAGATATTAGCTCATCATCTCTCGTTGCTGCAGCCTTGCTTTCTACTCCCTCTCCAATACAGACGTCGTTGGGTTTGAGATCCATAGAGCAATGCAAGCCCAACCATGACCTCATTGAAGTAATTGATAAGCTCCATCTTCGTTTTGGTTCGGAGTTCATGAATTTCTTGTTTTTTTGTAAGTGGATAATTCATTAAAGAGAAGAGCTACAGAGTTTTCATATCTTTTTTTTTTTTTTTTTTACATACAGAAAAAGTGCATAGTTCAAAAGAAATAGATATAGCTTGTATTTCTTCCAAAACAAACTCGATCCTTCCACATGCATTTGTTCTCAGGTCGTCGACGGAGTTTATCTACCATCCCCTAGCTCTAGCTCATCTCATGAACCTTAATCCACGTCAAGTCGCCATTTAATGCAATCTGTAGTGTTAAACAAACTTTCCGCAAAAATCCTGCCTCTCACAATTCACAAACAAAAAAGCTATAGGAAACTGTCGGTCCAAAAATTTAACTTTCAATCTTGTTGAGAGCCTCCGGCCCAATCTCATTATTCTCAGTGTTTTCCTTGTTACGCGATTTGGTTACTCCCTCGTGTCAGGTGATTTAGATACTGATTTAGATGATTTTTTACCAGGGCCAAGTTGTATAGGGCCGGGCCGAGCTGAAGTATTTCTGCAAGAGAGGATGTTAGAGTGCCTGGGTTATCTTTACCTGGGGAGGGCACTTCGATGCTTAAGTTAGAAGGTGTTTAAAGATTTCTTGAAAGAATGAGAGAGATAGAGAATGTATTATTGCGCGTACCTTTCCAGGTAGAAGTTAGTGCCTTATATAGGCACCTGCTGTCATAGCCCTCTCAAAATGGGCTTCAACTTTTTGTGGAACCATTTCCTTTTCCGCTTGGTTTGGCGCAATAATGTGTCAGTTACAGGATCTGCGCAGAAGTGACAATCTATTTGGTTAACTCCGATGTGTGCGTCGCGATAGGTTGGTCTAATGGTTGACGTATACGCACACCGGAGATCTTGGGTTGGTAACATATTATCGATCCAAGTCAGCGGGTTCTCCTTGCATGTCACCATCGACTCCTACAACTCGGCCGATACTTTAAGGCAGGTCGCCATGAGTGGGGAGCCAATTAGTTCATCCTAGCCGAGGTGGAGGTCGACCTGGATGAGGTGTTCCGGGCTAACTTGCCGAGCTAATTTGCTTACTCAGCACCAAGATGACACTCGAAAGCCAGATGTCGCAAGATGATTAGGAGAATCAAATTACCCCTCATCAATCCCTTTTCACAAAACCCCACCAATCATTGAACGCATTGCAGATCAAACACAGTCAAAGAATTGTATGGAAATTCTTTTTCTCTCATGTTGTCACTTTTACTCCACCCATTAAAGGGGTTGTAGAAGCAATAAGATTGAGCATACGAATTACTTTACATCTTAACTTTTGTTGCAGAAGCATTTGGCGCAGTTAAACATCGTTTGTAAATGATCTGCACCCACCACAGATTACCATTGTTGTTGTTGAGATGTAAAAGAAGACAATGGCTTCCTTGAAATCTAGAGTTCTTTTGAAACCTCTTTTGACAAGTCTCCGCAACCTTGCTTTCTCTTCGACCGGAGGAAGAAGTCTGGTTCTCATGGTTGTCAGATTCTTTTTAAACTTTTTTTATACAACATATTTTGAAAATTTGAAAAATAATTAAAGACAAAAAAGTCTTTTGATTAATTTAATGACAACACATAACAAAAAATAAATTTCTGAAACTTTAGGGATACTTTAAGTTAGTTCTAAAACGTTAGAGGTAATTTAAGTAATTATCGAATACTTCAAAGGTAATTTAAGTAATTAAGTCTTAACTAATTAAGGATGTTTACTTAGAGTAGGGAACCCACAACCCCCTTATTTCAAATTTTCAAACTAGCCCGCTTGATTACAAGGACAGTGCGCTATGTATCAAGGGCTGCTCTTATCCGTTTGGAATCAGTGTAAAACGTCATCAGTGTATTGATGGCATTTTACAGTGAACCAAAAAGTGACAGTTGCTTTTTAAAAATAGTAATGGGTGAAAGAGTGTTAAGTTTTACATTGATAAAATTGATGTACTTTTTACATCGATTATCGATGTAAAACTTTAGAGTTGATGAAGTTTTACATCGATTATCGATATAAAACTATACTCCATCAAAATGCATGCAAAACTGAACCGGAATATAGTTTTACATTGATAATAATTAAACCCTCCTTCCAAACACATACAACTAAACCGATGTAAAATTTACATTAGTTCTTAATTTACATCACATTCAATAAAGGAGTCCAGATCAGGTAGGCGAGCACATTTAGTGAGCACTCAGCCAATTTTATGACACTTATTCCATAAAAATACCCTCAGCCTACCCTTGAAATGACTCAAACAAAATTCTAAGGCAACTGCTACAATATTCATTTTGTACTTGTTTATTACCCACAAGAGTGTGACCTCTGAATCTGGCCTGGCTCTAAATATCCAATTATGGGTCATTTTTTCCCACACTTTCATGAGTTGTGTGAGGTGAGAGTGAGACAATATGGTTTCCCCACTAACGGTGAAGGAATCTATCACAATTCAAGAGGGATACTGTAGCATAGATGAGGGTTTGGAACAATACATTTAGAAAACCAATAAAAACTTGTGAGGGAAAAAGGTCAAAATCATAAATTTCCCTAGATTATTAAAAAAAAAAAGCCTATTTATAGTTCAGTCCCCCTCAAATTCTTTTTATTGGTTTTCCAAATGTATTTACCCACCCCTAAATTGTGATGAAGTCTGTTTGTGATGGAAAAATACCAATTGGATACACGATTTCACAAAGTCTGTTTGTAATGGAAAAATACCAATTGGATACACGATTTCACAAAGCCTGTTTGTGATAGACAAATGTTCAGATGAATCGGATATAAATATCACTACTGTAACCAGCAATAGAGGGAGATCATTGAAATAAATAGCTGCTTGAGACATAAACTAGAACCAACCGTACATTCTCTAAATGCCAATTGATAATAATACACACACAGCCCGAAAAAGAAGAACCCCAATAAAACCATGGGATCATCGGGCCAGCCAGACTTGAAGATGCTAAAAGCTAGCTACATTATACATCTAATTACAAAAGCATTTTATACATGCTAGTTCAAAATAATTCGTGCAGGAAGGCAGATACCAAATGTTTGCTCCTCCAAAAGGACACCCTCACAAGGAGCAAGCTTCAGAACAAACCCAGCAGAGAAGCCATCCCTTTTCCGTATCTCAGTAAAACATTTTCCCAGTACCTGATCCACCCAATCCTCTATTGTTCTCTTCTTATCTGATAACCAAGCAGCCGCAAGTATCTGTTCCATGACTTCTGAATCAATCTCCAGCAGACTATCAGGACCAATCACCTTGTTGAAGCTCTCACTTATATCCTTTAATATTTTGTCAGCAAGACCATCAAAATCAAATGGCTTGAAAATGACTGTTTCATCAACTTGACCAAGAAAACCTTCCAACCAGGCCTCTGAGTTTTCTGATACAGAGTCACTGTCACAGCTTCCATAATCCATGTCATTTGCTTCCATTGCTTCTATGGGAAGATTCAAATCTAGATATGAATGTGAAACTTTGTGGACTCGCTTGGTCATCTCCAAGGTCTCATTTTGCTCTTTGGGGTCACCAGTTCCACTTAGCTTCCGCTTATTCACAACCAATAGGCCTCTTTTTCTTGAATTAATCAACACATTTGGATTATTTCTTCCTGCAGTATCCTCGAGAACACATTCAAGTAACATCTGCATTTGCAGACCTTGAGCTCCTAGAATTCTTTCCTCGGGGAAATTAACAGATTCCTTCCCAGAAAAGAAGTTTTTATTACCCTTAATAATTCTTGATGTTGTCACAAAGATTGCATTATTGATACTGACCTCCCTTCCATGTGAATCTGAAAACTTGCCAGTCCTTATAGCTTGGGACAAGCTATTCTGGACCAATAAATCAGCCTTATCTACATTTTCAAGGAAGACAATTGACAATGGTTTCTTGCCTAGCTCCCCAGTAATATAATCAGTAACTGTCTTCCCTCTGAGTTTCACATCACATCCATTCATTTCTTGGTGACCATAGACCATGCTAGAATGGGTAATCCCATCTTGGGAACTCAAATCCACACAGATTAGGTTTTCTTTGCTGCCAAATATCACTTCTGCAAGGGCCAAGGCAATTCTCTTCTTTGCAACCCTATCGGGTCCAAGGAAACTGAACCATATATCTCCTTTCAGGTTTTGACCACGGCGTCTTCCGCTTTCTTTTCTACAGCGAGCTACAGTCTGACCAACAGCACATATAGCTTCATCCTGCCTACCAACCTTTTCAGTAAGACCTCTCCACAAATTCTTGAAATCTCTTGGATCAAGCTGTCCACTCAAATCAGGAGCAGTGAAAGGGGAAGATCGGGCAGGAGGGTTTAAAACATTCCCATTGACCACATTAAGCTCAGCAGAAAGGCAACTAGAGCAGTTCTGCAGTTGCCTATCATCAGGTTCCAATGTTGGTTTCTTCATCTCCTTATGATTAGATGCATAGAGTGTTCCCAGTCCTAAATCTGTTGTTACAGAAGTTGCAGACGAAGGTGACTTATGACCATCAGGTACGCTCCAATGTGGCAATGGGAATGAAGCAGACATGACGCCCTCTTTCTGATTACTTGCATCGTTTGAATGTTTAACCTGTAGTTTTGATAGGAAACTGTCACTCTTAGTTTCAGAAACCAACATAACTGGCACATTCAGTTGTGGCAGGGGAGCTCTGTCCAGGGAAATGAAAGGAAAAACATTTTCACCTCCACTTTCATTCTGAGATGCAACTGTACCGTCACTGTTCTGATTACTTGCATCGTTTGAATGTTTAACCTGTAGTTTTGATAGGAAACTGTCACTCTTAGTTTCAGAAACCAACATAACTGGCACATTCAGTTGTGGCAGGGGAGCTCTGTCCAGGGAAATGAAAGGAAAAACATTTTCACCTCCACTTTCATTCTGAGATGCAACTGTACCGTCACTGTTCTGATTCCCAGGTCTTTCGTTACCATCCTGATATATATCAGCTTTGGGTATTGCATGGCTTTGGTGAAGACGCTGGCAAATATCATTCCATTTCCTTCGCAGACCTATAATTTTAGCTTTCAAGACCGTCCCATCATCTTTGGCCTGCACTGAAAGGATGGAACACGACATTTAAAAAAGTATATTCACAAATCCTTCCATGCAGATACCGTATGTAGAATAGAGAGCTGGGTAAACCATGTCAAAGGTTTAAACAAAACCTTCAAATCCACAACATGAAGAAATTCAAACCTGATTATGTAAATGGGGAAAACAGTTAGAGTGAACCATAATGATAGACTAGCAATAGTATATGTGATACACACAGACTCCTAAAATAAAGTGTACCCAGTGATTCTGTTGATGTCTACCCTATTTTCTATGAAGATTGTGACAGGATGGCTTTTTGTGATGCCTTAGGACCCCATTCATTGATCATGATCCTCCACCCAAATTAAGTGTTCATAACCACTGGATCTATACCATTTATAACATACAAACATTGATGAGCCATCAGGGTCCAAACTGGAACCTCAGATTTCCTCACTAATAATTGAAAAAAGTTGAGCATATCAGGGAGTTGGGCGTAACTTCGACAGAGATGCGCACCTTTACAACATCCAATCCTTTGCTTGTTGTGAGTTCAGGTGACTGCAGCCAGAAAGACAAGCTTGATTGGTACTGGTCTGCAACTGAAACAGTGTGGCCAGCCTTCAGAATAGAAGAAACTTCTTGTTCATACTTCTCATTGCATAGGTGACAACAAGATATGGCTTCACATATGCTGCTTAATGGGCCCTTCAAATCTGATGATGTGCAAAAAACTCCACCAAATGGAACAAATGATTCCATCAAGCTGTAAGTATAGCATGAGCATGGAACTGTGAGACCCAATGGGCAGAGATAGTCAGAAGCCAAAGTGAACACATGATACTGACGTCAGAATTCCTAAACAACGCACGATGAAGAGAAGGCATCTTTCTGTACTGTTATATATAAATTAAATGCAAAAAAAAGTGGAGGTTTTTATTGTTTCCAGTTGCAATGTAAGACTCAATTCATGTTACCCTATCTCCAACTCAAGTAAAACATTACATATTTGTGTACATACAGCCTGAATTCTTATGCTTACCACAAAGAGGGTATAAACTCCAATAAGTGACTTGCATTACATATAAATAATTAACAGAGAAAGAGAAACAAGTGATAGTTAAAAGAGTTATGAGCTAGAAGAAAGACTTGCACCAAATAGGTCTGCAAATGGATTGGGTCAAATTTGGATAGGGGTATATATCTGAATCCGATAAGCAGAACAAATCTACAAAACTAAATATAACACACACACACACATATAAAACCAATCCACTTGCATCCCTAGCACCAAACTAGAGTGTCTATATCTTAACAGTACTCCTATGTGAATATAAACATACATATGTATGTCACCATGTCTGTGTGTGTGTACAGCTGATCTCAGTGTTTTAAAAGTGCAAGGCGCAAAAAAGGCGTGGGGGCCAATTTGTGCCTGAGGCGCAAGGCAAGGCATGTGCCCTTTTGAAGCAAGGCGCAAAAATACAAAAATAAAAGCTAGAAAATAAAAAAAAAAAATTGTCAGAAAAAGCAAAAAAAAGCTAAAATTTTCAAAAAAATAAAAAAATATAAACTTGAATTTTAAAATAAATGTTTTAAAAAACCTATTATCTAAAATTAAAATACATAAACATAACACGTAAAGCATATTCAAATGAAAACTTAAAAATAAAATCAAACATATAAAACATTTTCAAGCATGTAAAACCCACAATCTCTTTATTTCCTCAATTGCATTACTTCAAGTAGCTAAATGTAAAACATATTACATTCCTGATTCTACGAGCTGCCTTTGTGCCCCCAACAAGCCCATGTTAGGGTCTTAAATCTTAGTTCTCACACACAAAAAAAATGATTTTATAATTTTAATTGCTTTTTAAGAAGATATTTTATTAGGATGAATGAATGAAAAACATTAGAAAATAGGGGGTCCTCGGAGCTTCGGTGAGCAAGCGAAGCGGAGCGGAGTAGAACCCCCTAATTTGCTAATGTTGTACATTCATTCATCCTAATAAAATATCTTCTTAAAAAGCAATTAAAATTATAAAATCATTATTTTTTTGTGTGAGAATTAAGAATTTAAGACCCTAGCATGGACTTGTTTGGGCTTGCATCAAGGGATGTGGTATGGGGGTCTGGGGGCGAAGCCCCCGACCCAGGCACTAGGTTAAAAAACAAGCAAAAAAGTGTGAAATTTTCAAAAGGCACACATCTAGGTTGAGGCGCAAGGCACATCAGGCATGCGCCTTTTGAAAGGGCTGCACCTAGGACCTAGGCGATGCGCATACCCTAAAATGTGCCTCACCCGTGCGCCTAGGCACGCCTCAAGAGCGCCTCTTAAATCACTGGTTGATCTCACAATGATTCTGTGTTTTCGAAGTCATCATTTCTAGCCTGGAGATGGTACATAGTTTACCGGGAGAAATGTAACTTAACCAACTACTAGCTTATGCTGTTTCTTGGCCAAATTTGGTGCCCAGTCATCTAAATCTAAATGTCTAGAGCTGCTTCCCAAAGAAAAAGCAATCAATCATCAAAGATCCTTGAGTAAGATTTGTCATGCCTATTTTTGATTGACATAAATCTCTTTTCTAAAACTATTATTTTAAGAAAGTTAATGAGTATGTATTCAAAAAGCAAGAGAGTACATGGGAGGATGTATAGTGGTGAACAAGGGAAAAACAACTCCCCCTACCGACAAAAAAGCACCATGTGGGAATCAAGTTGTTACTGTACAATAAAGCATTCACAATTCCTGAATTAGCTAATCTGCTTCAGTATTAAGGTCATTAAGAATCCATTTAATTCTAAAATCTCATTTAAGAGATGCGCAAGATGTCAAGGACCTTTGTCTGCTCTTTGGCACGTAGATAGCAGTTGCTGAGTCTACCCATAGAGCTATAGGGGCCTCCTCCATTGCTTATGTGGAATCCACATCTCCAATGGCCCACTAAAGGCCCCAAAAAAAATCCCCATTATCCTCAAGACATGATCCGCCCATTTATTTCTGCTTTATACCTTTTTTATCGGTAATTCTCCTTTCAAACCTATTTAAACCAAGAAAGATCCAGTCTCACTTGAAATGCTTCCAAATCTACCCCAGTATTGTAAGAACTGCTCAAAACATGCCTAAATTCCAAAAATTCCATCCAAGTCTCAACCATAAATTCCTAAAATTAGAATAATAGTTCAAAAATCTGTTCATCAATGGTTTAACCCATGGTTCTAAATTTTGGTGAAATTTCAGTTTCAGTTATCAAAATACCAAAATTTTCTGGAGGATTTGTTTTGAAAAAAAAAAAAAACAAATCTGAATCTCTCCTGAAATCTCAGAAATTTCTCATGTATTTTGTCCAAATTTTCAATTTTTTTATAAAACCTATACAAATGAATAAGATAAATACAATGAATGTTATAAAATATCAGAATTATTAATAAAATAAAAATACTGCACCAAAATAGTTACCAAGATCTCAACATTTTTTTAAATTTCATTTTGAACTGGACAAAATTTCTAGAATTTAAAGCCTTGCTTTGGTTATTGAAAGCATAGGACCATACATTGTTCCAGACTTATTACAAGCTAAAATATAGATCATGCGTCAGGTTCAATATATGCAGTCATGTTAAAATTGAAACAAAATAAAACTATGATGAAATATCATTTCTCTATTTCAGGGCTCTACAATGTTCTCAAAACAAACTAGTTCTATCACATTTCCGACGATTTATCTCTGTAGAAGTAACCAACAAATAATTACTTCTCTTACTTGTTATATATTACAGTTGTTTATTATAGCTTTTTGAATCTTATGCATGTAAGTATACTTCTTTTGACATTCCTTTTAGTCCAATTGATAAATTCTGCATTTTTGCTAATATTTTCCCCATCCTTCCTTAAATTTTCCAGATTTTCCAAGATTATATGATCCCATTTCCACATGGAAGAGTTGACATAAGATTTGCCAATTGCATAACCAACACATAGGGCAATGCAGGAACAGGGAGGTTTCATCCAATAGGCCTAAGATAACTTCATCAACTGTATCCTACTGTAATAACTATTTGGTATAATATTTCAGTTGGGGAAAATGGAAAAGAATACTATTGAACAAGTAAATAAAGATCAGATGGTCCACATCTGGTAAGGAGTTCCTATAAGGTGGAATTGAATGGTAGGTAGGTAGCAACATCCCTCAGCACATACACCACTGTATAAACAACAGGTACATCTATAAGATCAACATCCCTCTTTTTGGCCTGCCACAATCACAGGTTAGAAACCTTTTTTCTCCATAGAAAGGCCGTGCATCTTAAGCAAGATGTGTAAGCTAGGTTTGACAAGAAGCGGAGATAATATCAAACTATAGTAAGCTAGGTTTCCGTACCAATTAATATGCCTGCAAGAATCTGAATGCCAGGATGATTACCTTTTCAAAATACAAAATCAATAATACAGGTCGAATTTATGTAAATCCAATGTTTCTCAAGCTATGGCAGGATAATGGAGCCTATTGATTCATTGCTAACTAATAATCTGGTACTAAACTTAAGCTGTATAACAGATAAGTCCGGAAAAGCGATGCAAAAAGATAATGAAGTGCAAGATAGCCTATCCACCTGTAGGGCCGTGAGTAGAGTCCTCCGAAGGAGGGCCTATGAGAAGTGATGGGCAGGAGCTGTAGATCCCAGTCCTTCTCTATGGAAGGAAACTTTGTTAGGAACTTCAGATAAGTCTCATAACTGGCTGCTGCCCCCATCAACCACAGTTTCTGACGATGAAGTTCCAACAAACTCGTCAGTTGGGAAACTACATAGCTCATATCATGAACCGAGTCATCAGCAACGAATCCCTTTAAGTCTCCAAAGCTAACGATCACACCAGACCCGGAAGAACTCTCTGCTGATCGACCTACCTCCTCAAACCTCAGACCGAGCAACCTCTCATTCCCATTCTCCGTGATAAACTTCGAGACCTCCTTCTCCATACAAATGAAGCTCAGTTCAGACACTTCTACAGGTAAAACGCCTCCTTTCCTTCTCTCTATGCAATCCCCGAAACTCCGCATGGCATCGTTTGCGTAGACCCCAACAAGCAATGGATTCCTTCCCTTCTTCCTTGCAAGAACCTCCCCAATTCTCTTGCTGTTCTCATCTCCATCCGCATAGACAGGAATTCCCGACAACCCAGAGAATGGAAAACTGAAATTCCGTCTACCCGGCTCAGAGTCAACCCCAGTTAAATTACATAAGAAAAGAGGTGGGCACCGGGAACGAGGATACCGAACGAGTGGTGGAGGTGGGCGAAGAACCGCCAACTTGATGTCGCAGCTACGAAAACCAGCTTCCCCAAAGACCCTGCTAACAACCGGGTCATCGAGAATCGACAATATCAACTGCTGAAGCTCAACCTTGACGCAGGACATAGACGACTGTTGTTGCTGCTGCTGAAACAAATGAAAGCTCTCCGGGTTTCTCCTCTGATTCGCTTGCGAGCGTCTAATAGCGGCCATCAGAGAGTTGGATATGGGAGGCTCATCTAACGCTTGGGAGGAAGGAAGACGATCGAGTGCAACACCGAAGCACAACTCAAGAGCTTTGAACTGAAGCCGAGGCGGGTAAGCAGAGCTGCGCGCACGGGCACAAGCCTCACGCAGTGCCGAGGAAGGCAGCGCGAGGAAGGCTGAAACGGCGTGTAAAGACGTAGTCTGTGCATGCCCACGGCGGCGCGCGACAGCGACCGCCTCGTCGAGCGCGTGCGTAGCCTCGGCAGTTAAGCATTGCCTCGCAGCGCTAACCGGCGTCGGCATCACCGGCGACCATAAATATAACGCTCTTAAGTCTTAACCTCCAAGCAAATAAAAAATTCGAATGGAGTAGACTCCATCACCTTTTAATTTATTTAAAGTAGTCGAGAGAACTAGAAGCATTGCTGCTGATGCTGTTGTTGTTGCGACCGTGCGGTCCCAGGTCCCTCTCACCTTTTCTCTTGGGCCGTTGAACAAACAGATGAAGAGCACAGATTCTCTCGAATAAAAAAATCTTCCCATTCCGCTTTGGACAGAGAAAACCAATCAGTGTGAGAGACTATTAGCGGGTGGGGGAGAGATCAGAGATGCTGTGCCCACTTATTTCAGTGGGGGCAACAACCCACGTCACTTATTCGAACGAACTTTTAGAGAGAGATACAGGTGGAGAGAGAGTATATCGCAGAAGCTAGAAAGAAACTAAAGAAGAAAGAGAGGTCAGAGGTCGTTTAAATGGCAAAAAAAAATTGCATGTGATAAGGTGGATGAGAGAAAAGAATAAGGCCTCCTCCACCAACCGGGCCAGGGCCAGGGGCCACCAGGCCCACCACTACACAATACACATACATAGTTGATCGTCATTTTGGAATATGAAAGCACTGGAAGAAAACATCTTCCCCCACCCATCCAACGGTTTTAATCCCCCCACTGTGTAGTGTGTAGAAGTAAAAAAAAGGTGCTGATTGATGCGTTTTTGTTTGCTTTCCACTTTTGTCCAGTTTAGCAATTTTTTCATTTTCAACCACTTTTTGATGAAATGCCCACCAAGTGCCCACAAAGTAGAATTGGGTGCGTTTGGTTAATAATTGGAATCGGAATCAGAATCTTTTTAAGTCTAAATGAGAGCCGTTTATTCTTATGGTCTGTTTGTTTTTAACAGTAATGAAAATATGAATTGGAATCAACAGAAATGAGATTTTATTTCTAGACAAGGAACAGAGAATGACCATTGGGTCGAATAGGGATATGACATTCTCACAAGAATTAGAATAGGATTCTTATTTCATCCAACCAAATGATTAGAATTGGAATATCCAGACCCCTATTCCTACAAACCAAATGAGGTCTAAAACTTAAAAACTAACAGTAGGATATACAAGTAGGGGAAAGTGGGAAATTAGGTAGGCTAGCGTTTTAAGTCATTCTCTGTCCATGGTCCATTGTCCGACCATCACTCCAGACTCCGTATAATATTAATATGGTTGAAGACTTACTCTAGTCTAGAGAATGGGGGTACCCATAGCTAAATAACGAAGGATCTCCTCTCTTCTATGTTCTCCTCCTCTTGTCTCTGGATTGGCTATAATGTATCAAAAATTAAATATTCATGTGATGCATGTCAAATTGAAATGCAGAGCATGTTATGTTACTTACTGATGCATAATATCCGCTTCAAATCTAATGTCATCCTTTTTTATGCCATTGCCGTCTTGCCGAGGCTTCCATTTGTCAATTGTTCACATCACTTTTCTCTTTCTTTCACACAGAATTCACATTACTTCTTTTCCCCCTTAGAATTCCGTGTTTTTAAATTGAAAAAAAAAAAAAGACTATATTTAAACTCATCTATAACCAATTCAATTAAAACCAGAGTGCAATCACTCCCTTGTAGAGCAAACATGGGCATCTTTTTACACGGGGAGATGCATCGAACAGGTCTCTTATAGATCCTAATGTCTAAATTCATGGTTGGTGGTGGACCTCTCCTCTCCACATATGGGAGATGCATGTCTAATTTACAGTCACCATGAAAGGAACTACTCACATCACACATCATAGAGGTGGGGGAGATGGTCCTGCTCCTAAGTCTTGTTTGGCGTATGACTTATATATAGATATAGCTATTTTGAGTTGCGTGTATGCTTGCCCGCACATGAGTACATGACATGGTCATGGTGGGGACGTCCCTGCACCCGGACAGCCTGAATTATATCAATACATGGATACACACTCTCTCTCTCTCTCTCCTCTGATAAGGACAGTATTCTGTTCTACACTTCTAAGCCATCAAAGCCAAAGCCCAAATGTGGTTCCTTGAGGTTATGGGAGGCCATGCAGGCATGCACCTTGTCCACGGACATGGGCCTCTGCTACTTGTCACGTCACCCTGAAAGATCGGGCCCATCACTAAATGGATTCAACCCTAAACTTAATTGTTGAGATACATTCAAATGCAATGGTGTTGTGGGTCTCAATTGTCTAGAAATTAGACGCATAGACTGATGGGCGGGGCCTCCTACGACCCGCTAACCTAAGAGGATATTTGCCCTATACCGAATACACATGTGCTGGACAGACACACCTTGTCAAGAGTGACCTAATCTGATTAGAGATAGAAAGGGGCACTTATGGTGAAAGTCCAAGAGTATTCGAGCTCCACGTGGCTAATTGCTACATCTATGGTAGGTAGAAAAATGGTCCTAATGGCTACCTGTCAAAGGCTGAAAAGCGAAAGCTATAGTAAGGACATGGGCGCAATTAAACGTTTACCAAATATCAAACAAAAGAAGGATAAAATATAGTATCTAGGAAGATCTGGAAATGGAATCTTACTTTATGGTGATAATTTATTTATTTTATGCTTTTAAAATGGTTCTCCCTCTTTCTACGCATTTATTCATTCTAGTGATTCCCTTTCACTCAAGCCCATTTGTTGCTCTTTTGAGTGAGCAGACACTAATCAACCTGAGAGGCTGGGACCTTGTCCTAGTCAATGCCCAGGACCCATTTTGAGATTATTTCATATCTCTGTAACTGGGTAGCTTTTTATTGATGAGGCGTTTGGGCACAGATTATTTCCCCACAAGAGGATTTTAACTCCTTTTTAACGGTGTATGACAAAGCCACATAAAGGTGACGTGGCTTTGTTATTCACCATTGAGAGAGGGAAGAGTATGATGGTGTGATGGCTCATTGGCTTGTGTCTGGTGAATGAATGGACATCTAAGCAATTGGAAAGGAAAATTTTTAAAAGAAAAGGACGGAGGGGTCCATTAAATTAAATGGGGACCAATCAGGCAATCACCAATGAAGCACACAAGAAAAGCAGAGGGAGAATGAAAGTTGGGGCGTTGGCAGTGAGCGGTGGTGGCACTGGTAAGATTGATTGAAATCTTCTACTTCCAAAGTGGCAAACTGGCAATGAAATGAACATATTCAACCTTCCACTCGCTTAGGAGTTGAGAAAGAAAAGTGAACAGCATGGCTGGCTCTACGAGCTTTTGGTATAAAGCTGCTTCTGCATCCTTGTCAGAATGTCGGATCGAGTCTCTCTCTCTCTCTCTGATTTCATCTTTTTCTTAGCCTTCGGTGCCTCGCACCAGCCTGACATGTCCCTCATTTTTAAATCATGGATTGTATTTTTAATTTTTTATCGTTACGCAATAATAGTCAAAGCCATTGTTTTTCCCATCACACCCCCACTGGAGGAATAGAACTTGCTCTATTAGTATTTGACTAGTTACTCCATTAGAGTGAAGAGAAGGATCAAAGGAATTTGCCGTTGGGTTCTTTGTCATCGCTTTTCCTTTTCTCATCAAGGGTTTTAAATTTAATTTCGGTAAGTATCAAAGTTTTATCCAAAATTTCAGAATTCTGACCATTTATTGTGTCTGAATTTTTAAATCTATTATTGGAATAATATAGACTAAAATGTTATTAAGAATATTAGATGGGTCGCTAGAATATATATAAAAAAAAAAAAGATATATACCTCTATTATTTTTTTGATGACAGACCAAGGGTCCAAGTCAATCCATTGCTATCCCATGTCATATTGACCCACTCCAGTCGTCCCATCGAAAATTTAATGATACACCCACCACCACCACCACTACAACTCAATCCAACCTATTTCTTTTTCTTCCGGCCTGCTTTTAAGGCAGGGTAAATGTTCAGATTGGTCAGGTCAGTTTCCTAATTTTGGTTGTCATTATAGAAACCATTTTTATTTATTAACCAAAAAGGCAGATGATAATGGAGAACTAATCAGCTAATCAATCAAAATCACAAACAACTGTTGTGTGTGACTTGGATGTTGTCTTATGGATTTGATTGAGAAAACTACTGTTGTTGTTGCTATCCACCAAAGCCCACATTGGACGGTTGTGCAGAGAGGCAGAGGAGGAGTGCCACTACCAGTTTTCCTTTTTCTTTTACCCTTGTTTGGAGCATCTCTCTTTAATATTTCGCCCAACCCAAAGGCCAAAACAACTGGTATATATGTTGGACTGTTGCCCATTTAGGCCCTAGACACCTGCATTTCAATCAAGGAAACTGCTCACCATCCAACCACATGTTGGCCATATGGAGTTAGGTGAACCGGTCGTTTGATTCATTGAAAAAACCCATATATATATATATATATATATATATATATATATTTATATTTATATATTCTGCCACATCAACATTTGTTGCTTTTGGAGGCTTTTTTACATCTTTATCATTAAGTTGGTAAAGGGAATGCAAGGACAGGGGGAGATGGAGCCCTCTGAGGAGGATAGTTGGGATTGCCTTTTAAGGCTACAACTGTTGGATGGGAACCTTTTGGATGGACTTGGAGGCCCATGTATGAAGAGCAGTTGGGTAGCCTTTAGCCTTACTCTTTAAGGCAAGTAAAAAATTGTGAATGGGGATGACGTGGGTCTTTTTTATAAGACGATGTTGGGCTTTGTTCAGTTTTGATAGGCAGGGAAACAAAAATCCCTATTCCCTAGTCCTAGTCCATGGAAAGAGTTACTTTTAGTCTACTTGTTTCATGCAGGGAATCCATTATAGAAATGTAGGAGTAAAAGCGTAAATTATGAGATTGCACTGCTGTTTGGTAGTCTACAACTTTGAGTAATTGATTCACTCAAAATAGAAACTCATGTTTCTGGCAGTGGGGAACCTAGTTCCTCTGCACATACATCAATTGCTCTCAAAGGTCATAGTTTCCTCTACTTATCTTCACCAATTCTCACTCTTTCAAACAGGGCTGATGCCCCACCTCAACTAAATGAGAATAGGTATATATATGTATGTATGTATGTATGTATGTATGTATGTATGTATGTATGTGTGTATGTGTGTATTTATACACGTATCTCATTCCACTTCTGCTTTAAGCTCTCTACAATTGGTGTTGAAAAATGGGGTCATTGTAATTTTGGAGGAGAAGCTCTGAGGCGCGTCTGAAAATACTGTCTTTAGAACGTTATTTGCCCCCAGTTTTACTGAGTTTGTTGTTGGGTTACAAGCAAATCCGTTCCCAGGATACAACAAAGTCTTGGGCGAGAATCACACCCGATTGGGTGTATGAAGAAAAGGTAAGTACTGGTTTAGAGAAGACACCTTGAACAGTGACTGTTAACTTTGAATTGTGCCTCTTGATCACACCCGATCGAATCGCTCATCAACGGTGATCAACGGTCAGTATCGCACCAAAACCAAAGCCACCCTTCGTGAGCCACACGGGTGCGCGCAAAGTATGCCTCTAAAGCGCCTCATTGCACCACACACACGCACGCACACGCGTGTGCATGCATTGCGTGGTATCAAACCCCCATACTCTCCTCTATTATTTCTAAGGAGTGTAAATCAGTTCCTATTGAAATACTGAAAACAAAACTTATAATTTTTCAATGTGGGACAAGTTCAAAACTGGGTTTTGCAAGAGAAAAGCTAATTTTTCAATCAAGTGTGTAGGTGCAATTTTTCATGTAATTGACCAATCAAACCCATTGAATTTAATCTCTTATGAGATTAAAATCCAACAATTGGATTCGGCTGCAATTATATTTGGTTTGAAAGAAAAGGAAGGAAACCTCTTTCTTTTCTACCAAACCAAACACAGTTAGACAGCACCGAACAAGCTGCCTATTAACATTGCTTTGGATTCTTTGTAATATACTCAGCATCAGACCCCATCTTATATTGGAATCTCTCTCTCTCTCTCTCTCTTAATTATATTTTGAAAATATCCTCCTCATTATCGACCTCGCAAGTTGATGCTTTCGAAGAATGGTGGAAACAAGGCTTTTAGAGAAAATTTTATTAGATAATTTCAAGTTTTAAAACGAAGATATTTTATAATGGATGAAATTCCATATAATACATCTTTCTTCATTGCAAATTTGCATTGCTTTGCCTTTGAGGAGAAGGAAATGTAATTAATGTCTATGCCAATAATTCATTTCAAGAGGCCTAGAAGGAAACCAGACTTACTTTTGAAAGGGGAAAAATAAATTAAACTTAAGACTTTCATTAATGTAATTATAAAAAATAAACACATAAACACCTTATTTTTTATTCCTCAAAAGTGACGAAAGATGTTTTCCCCCCGAATCTTCAAGATAAATAAATTAATATGATTTATGCTAGCATTTCTATCCCAGTATTTTCTCTATAATATGCAACATCTCAACCCAAAACTTAAATTTCATGAAACCTTTCTGTCATCCATTTCATGTTGCTATGTTTAAACGGATGATGGAGAAAATACTTTCTTAAAGTCAAAACAAATGATACACTAATCAGATGGTCAAAGATATCTCCGATTAAACTGATTATATATATATATATATATATATATAAACCTACCATCAGATGGTAAAGTAATTCTACAAATGGTACCCTAATCAAAATCATCTGATTGAGTCCATACAGTGGTTTTCTTTTTTATTTTATTTTGTTTATTTTTTATTTTTTTTGTTTTTGGCGCCTATTACTTCACACAGGATGCTTTTAATTTTCTTATCATTCCATTGCTTCGCATTGCCTGGTGACATCTCTGTGAACCCAGATTTCCTACTCACTCACTTTTCCTACCCATTCTCTACCTATCGTGAATTGCAGTCACAGACATCAACAGCCATTGGCATTGAGAGAGAGAGAGAGAGAGAGAGAGCCTCTTTGTGTTGGTGTTGTTGTGTCATTGGCCTGTCCTATGTTCAAAAGCCCAGATCTGCTGAAAGCAAAAAGTGTGAACACACACACAGAGCACGGCATCCAGCTTTATGTAATGTGATTTGTGGGTTCGTCTTGCATTAAAGCAAAAAAGTGTATCAAGTGTGAACACACAGAGACGGAGAGAAGGAGGGCACGGCCAATTGATTTTTCCTACTAAAATCAATTGGCCTAGACTATTGCGTCACAAAATACATGAGAATTCAAATGATCTCTTCGCTTGTCTGGCATGCATGCACCAGAAATCCACCATTGCTAAGCTTTGATCTTAAATTTATTTATTTTCCTGAATTGTTTTTTCCAATTTCAACTTGTTGGCCGTCAAACCTCTTATAAATCTCTTGATATGATGAAGAATGTAAGATTTCTTATTAACTTCACTACAGAAGCTGGCGCTATCATCAAGCAAATCAAGGAGATTAACAATGCTGACTTGCACTTGTTTAAAGTTTAAACAGAGGCGCATTACATCCTTAAAACGCAAAATAGATACACCGGTTACTCGTCACTTGTGCTGTTTTAGGCAAGGTTCAAAATATCAATACGATAAAACAGTACCAGCATATCGGGCAGTATCAATAACTTTTTTTTTTAAATCTGGTTTAGAGGGGCTGGTTTAAGGTCCATCCACCCTCTGAACCGGTCGAGACCCCGAGAAACACCCCCTGTATTAACCGATACAACCCGATATATATCGATATTTTGAACCTTGGTTTCAAGTTGCCAACAAATCGGTCCCATTAATTGAAATGGCTGTACTACATCAGAAACGCTTCATGTGAGGGCCTTGACCTGAAACCATTAAAACAGTTTGGGCAGCTAAATTAACAAATGCTTTAACTTTTAAGCCTTTTCCAGACCATAATCACCCTAGTTCCGGAATGGTATCCAAGAAGAGGCACACCATTATGGTACTTCTCACTTATAAAATTGGAACTAGAACTTCACACACAATTATGTACTTTCTATTGCTGAAAGAAAATCCTCAAATTTTGCAAAAGAAAAAAAAATCAGCAAGTTATGTGCCAAACTAGGCATGGAATTCAGATCTATTTTCAGGCATTTTGTCAAGCTCATCTGGTTTCTGCATCTACAGCATTTCATTCCTTCACCTCTGAGAGCATTGTAATACTTGATACCAATATTTAGAACAGCAAAAGCCTAACTAGATTTGAGCCACATAGCTGTATGGAGGGCACATTACTAATGCAGATTTCCTAACATCATGTTCACCACTACTATGTTAGACCAAGCCAGAGCAATTTGCTGAAAATAATACAGTCATCAAACTGTAGTGAAAAGATATTAACAGAATCTATTCTTGAATTGAAGCTGTTTTTAAATTAATATACACTAGAAGCAACCCAAAAAAGAAACACTGGATTAGTCATAAACAGTCATGGCAACAATCCAGAACTTTTCCCCATGAATTTCATAGGATCACTTTATCAATTCAGTCCAGTACCATAAACTTAGTAAATTTGAAGCAGGGCATGAACATAGAGTTGATCTAGCTCTGGAGCGACTTTGCCCAGTTACTCAGAAACCATAGCCTTCCATTTCTTTTCGGCATCATGTCCTTTGCATTAAAAGCCACATAAAATCTAAAACTCCAACCCACCCCCAAAAATAAATAAATGAACAAAATAAATTGTCTTGCCAGTTGCCACTATGTTGATGAGAAGATATGCAATAATACTAGGCAATTGAAGAAGACAGCCCATGCATCAAAGAGAGAATATGTATATATACGGACATATACTGAACCTCCACAACTATTGCTCCCATGAAATCCAAGTAAAAGCACAGTGCCTAAACTTCCGTACCTGAAAACACCAGCAAAAAAGGAAATTCTAGAGAACTTACACGAGGAAAGAGAGCTACTAATATTATTCATGAAGTCAACAACCGTTTGATGCCCGTCTTCTGCTCAGGTGTAAGTCGGCTGGGGAACTTGATGTTGAACTTAATTCTCAAGTTCCCTTTCTTGGTAGGCTCCTTTGGAATCGGCATTCCCTCCCCTTTAACAACTTCTTCATAGCTGGGGCTGATGACAGAGTTGATGGGGATGGTCAAATTCCGTCCATCCAGGGTTGTCAACTGTACTGTGTAACCTGTCAGAGCTTCAACAAGAGATATTTTCTGTGTGACAATTAGATCATTGCCATCCCTCTTGAAGACACTATGTGGCCTCTCATCAATGATAAAGACCAGGTCTGAAGGTATCAGACCTCGCTGTTCATTACCCTTCTCTGGAAAAGTGATTTTTGTCCCTTTCTTCCAGCCTGGCTTGATCTCTATTGTCAGAATTTCCTCTAGAGTTGTGGGTCTCCTGTAAAAACAAAATAATGAAGAACCAAAAGAAAAATGAATGGTTGTCACCAAGAAATGATGAGAGCCTATGAACTGCATTGTTCTTGACTTTTCTCAATTTGGCCTTCACACTTTATTGTCTATTTCTGTCACAGTTCAGGAATTTGGGGCTATGATGCTTGGACCAGGATTGGTAATGAACTGAACCTCAATTGTAATCAAATCTTACCTTTGGCCAACACCAAGTTTATAAAGTATGCAACAAAAAACAGGACAACGAATTCCATGTATAGGCAGATTTAGCTTATAATATTAGGAAGTCTCTTCCTTAAATATTTTCCTTTTTTTTCAAATGAGAAGTAAAATTCACTAAAAAAGGATTCAAGAAAAGTACATAAGATTAAAAAAACTGTGGAAATGAACATTTTAGCAGTAGATAACAAAGAGTACAACATTGAAACTGCTCTTCTTAGAACTGTGTCCTCTTTAGTTGATTTGTTATAAAAAATTGTAGACTCCATCTAGACAGTCCAAATAACAGCTGCCAGATGGCTCTCCAGGTTGTCTTCCCCCTCTTATTCAGGACTTCAATATACTTCAATATACCATTATTCAAAAAATTCCTTAATAAGTCCTAGGGAAAAACCAGCATACTTTCAGAGGGGAAAAGAGAGAGAAAGAGAGGGCTAAGGAAAAAAAACCAGATCTTCTTACTGCTTAGGCAGTGAATGAAGAGGTGATCATCAGACTCTCAAACATGTTCATGGAACATGCGCCAGTGATGGAAATTTTCAAGCCTCTTCTGACGAGGTTCCCCTTTGCAAGTCATTTTTTTTAAACAGCAGTCCAAATCATGATGGAAATTGATGATGAGACCCCAGGATTCCACACAACCTTGAAGGGGTATTGCTACTTGGATTGTCACTTTGGAGGTTCAATAAAAGAGACAGTGCCTGTTCGAATACCCAGTCATGGAGGTGTATGCAAAACTTAGGAACCCACATCGCCTTATTGGTCACTAATTCATAGAAATGCAACACTCATTCCTAGTTGTCTTCAACCAGAGCAAATAGATATGAAAAAAAGGATTTCAACAGTGTTGCATGGACCTTCCTAGATGGATGACATGTCCGTGTGAGACATGCATCTTAGTCCAACACTACAGGATTCTTGAGGACACTTCTATTTCTATATGACATTTCTTTTTATCTCTGTCCTGCTTAACATAAATGAACAGCTAATGTACAAGACCAATGACATTTTTCATTTCAAATATTACTTAATACTTAGTACTTAGTAACAGAGACAACATTTTTTGCAGGTATATAATGTTAGAAATAAAAAAATATGAACTATTTTAATAGTACATGGTTTCCAGAGATGTATCCGTGAGTCCATTTTTTTTCTCATCTTGCTGATTCAGACCCTTGGATATGACATTGGATTCTGACTCCTGTGTTGTCCATGCAAAATTGGATTTCAAAAGTCTATGGTCACACCAAGCATCCTACCAAAATGTAATTTCAGAATCAGAACCATCATCCACCTTTATACATACTACCCAAGATGAAGGAATCAAAAAAATTGCCAATTCCTTCAAGAGCCTAATAACCATAGGTAGATTACAGCTAGGTCCCACCCACCATTTCTTAGCCCAAGTCCTCTACCAGCTCCTAGTTTCGGTACTAGCTCTCTTCCCTAAGGATTACCTCCATTTTATTAGTAGATCCTAGTATTTGTAAACAGAAAATTTTCCATAGAACAAAATACAACCCCCTCAAAGACTCACCTAGAATAAAAAGGAGGAAATAGGAGTTAGGATAAGAACAAAGCTCAGGACACTACTTATCAAAAAAAGAAAGCTCAGAACACTTTTTTTTTTAATGTGGAAACCATATAATGTGCTCCCATCTAGCATCCATCTGGAACACCAATAATTTTTTTATTAGCAATAGTATGTTGTATTAAAGTATGAGCACGAAAGATACAAAGGCCCACTACTCAATACATAAAACAATGCCAATGTTACCCAATAGTCATAACTGGGTTCCTTATACCATGGTTAGCATTTAGCAATATTCCCAAAACTTGCCAACTATTTCCCACAAAGTTTCCCATTTTAAGGGATTCCAAGTATCTATCAACAGGATTCTCATAATCATATAATTTATAAGAAAATTGACAATACTTCTACTAAACAATCCATATGTTGATATTTAGGAAATATCACAAGAGAGAGAGAGAGAGACTGGGATTTTACATTAAGAGAGGTCTATATTTCCCTTTCAAACCAAGACCAACGAATCTGGAAGCTCCATCCAGCCGGTAAGTTCACAACTAATTCCTTTTTCAAAGCCTTGGTAACGGGTGACACAAACTATGGGTTCCCTTATAGAAGAGTTTGGATTGCCCACATATCCTCTAGAGTCTCTTTTTTTTTTTTTTGTGTGTGTGTGGGGGGGGGAGCTTGCTTGAGAAAAATAAACACCTGTGATCTATTACAGAAAAAGCACAAAGGAAGGCTGTACATTTCTCCCCATGTCTGTATCCTTTGTTTCAGTAATGGTGAGTCGGCAGATCATCTCCATTGCTCAGTAACAAGGAAGATATGGCTTTACTTAATTAACCTAGTAGGGTAGAGCTGGGTTTTCCCAGAACACGTAGAAGATTTCTTAAGACAATGGCAAGGTAGCTCAAGAAGTAATGTGGGATGTTTGGGAAGAAAGAAACAGTCGCATTTTCGATAGTAAAGCTAGATCACTTGGAGACTTAATCTCTCATATAATAATATACTTGTGCAATCAGTGGGTGCAGAATTCGGAAAGCTTCAAAGGAATATCCATGAATATGCTTCAACAGAATGTAGTGGAAGTGTTATTCTCCTCTCCCAGTCCTTCAAGAGGAAAGAGCCTCCCTCATCAAAGAGAGAAGGAAGTGACTTTATATTTTGATGGAAGTGCTACTGGAATTCTGGGAATAGCAGGAATTGGTGGTGTGTTTAAGAGAAGGGACGGTCACCCTATGTGGATCTTTAGTGGACCAATTGGGGTTGCAGATTCCACAACGGCAGAAATTTTAGATGCTTTAACAGGGCTCCGTAACACGAGAGACCTAGGCTTCACTGATCTAACAATCAAAGGAGACTCCAGAAACACAATAAAGTGGTTAGGGGAGAGGGAAGGAGGTCCTTGGAGACTGGCCCACTATTTAAATGAGGCTATAGATCTGTTAAATTCCTTATCGCTAAACCTTTGCTGGATTCCTAGGGAATTAAGCTCTGTAGCTGATAGTTTGGCTAAATCTGGTACACACAGGGATTTTTTGTACAGTGATAGAAATATGCCTTTGTAACCTGTGTGTAGCCTAATTGTACATTATCTCATTACTCTCTGTTTTCTCAATCAAGATAACCTCTTTTCTCAAAAAACATTATAAGCTTGTCAAACTCTAACCTCAGAAAAGCCATCCTTTATCCTTTTGTTTGATGGGCTGATCCATTCAACCCAAATGATCAAACTGGTGAACCATTGCCCATGCCAAAAAACAGGGTTAACCTCCTGTGCAGGTTTTAAAACATTGAGATTCACTGATATTTTAATCAAATCAGATTTGAACCGAATATCCAGATATGTAATCAAATTGAATTCAAATCTATGTTTTACATATCCATTCAATGTCTAATCAACTCCGGATCTTTATCAGATCAGATTCAGATATACCCCTTATCCGAAGTCAATCCAATCAGCTTGCATCCCTACCTGGATAAAGGAGAAGGGTTGTTTTAGGTTGGCAGCTGGCATTAAAACTTTTGCCAGACTTTCATAAACAATAATAATATTTTTGTTATCATTAAAAACATTAAAAAACCATTATAATTGCTCTGTTACGTATATTGTAAATTCAAAGGAGTGAAAGTGGAATACCCCAATCAATACCCACCTTTGCCACCATATTTTCTTAAATAGCAATCATGGATACAAGAAAAAAAGGAAACTTTGTTGCATTTAAATTCTGATAGCCAAATACCTAATATGCACCTAGTATACCTGTATTGTGCATAATAGACACATACATGGCAGTAGACACTGCATGGCCACTTCTAGAGTATATTTTGTAGTGTTAATACTAAACCATTTCGTATATTTTAACAAACTATACTATTAAAAATATTTGTATCTATTAGAAGTTTAACGAAATTTGGCAAGATGTAAATTTATACTATACTACTATTAAAAGTATGAATGACAGTGTGAAACTTTTATTTGACTCAAATACCCCTATTTTTAACTTGGTTCCTCTCTAATTGTGAGGGTAGAAAATGTAATTAAACTATTACTTTTCACCCTATTTAAGATCCTCTAATTAAGTCTTATATTTAACATATTAACTCCCATCATCTTTCATTGAATGCTATTATTGACTAAAATGCCCTTATCATTTAATTTAGTCCTTCTCTCACTGTGAGGGAAAAAAATGTAATTTAAACTACTTTTTACCTCATTCAATTCCCTCTCATTAAGTCTTATATTTAAAGTATTAATTCCCATTCTCTCTTATGAAATCCTATAATTGTACTAATTGTTTCACTAATAAATTCTATCATTATTAAATCTCATGTTTAAAACCAACCCAAAAATGACATTGTTCTTCCATCTTGATGGTGGGCATGTAATTCTACCATCCAAGTCAAATGGGCCAACCCATGATGCCATAGTTAAATAATAAAACTTTCTAAATGAAAATAAATGCAAAAAAAATACAGAAAAATTGTAGAAAATTGGGCACATCTCTAATATTTTATATCAATCATATTAAAAAAACACATATTGTTTTTATTGATGCTAGAAATGAAATACAAAATTTGAAAACCATCCAAAAAATGAAGTTGTGTTTCAAATTGACGGTGGGTCAACAATTCAACCTTTTGGGTCAAATGTATTAATCCTTGATATTATAATTAAATAATAAAAAATTTAAAAAAATGATAACAGCACAAAAATGAAAAAATACAGAAATTCACTAATATTTTATATTAATCATATTAAATAAAAATAAGTGTGATAAAAAGTTGAAAATGTGTTATCAATTGGGTTATCAATTGGGCAAATGTGTTATCAATTGGGCACATCTCTAATATGTTCAACCTTTTAGCTCAAATGTGTTATCAATTGGGCACATCTCTAATATCATATATTCATCATATTAAACAAAAATAAGAATTATCTTTTATACACAAAAATATAAAAAAAATGTTGAAAATTCTGGAAACATATTATTATTATCATCGTCATCACAATCTAAAATTGCCACGTAAAAAGCATGTGCTCACTTAGTAATATTGAGAAATGATACTTGACTTCATGAGCTATATATAAACATGATATAAGCATACATGGGATACCCCCACCAAGATCCATGTCTTGGATCCCAGGAAATGAGGAGTCACATCCCCATTTCCTATATCCTCCACGTGACTAAAGTAGGGTAGGTTGTATAGGGAAGCTACCTACTTGACCCAATCAAGAACTCTTTTCTGTATCTAATCATTTAAGATAATCCTAAATTACTAAACGAATAAAGGATCTAAACCCTACTTGATCATTATAAGGCTATCCTGATGTGTTGCTTCAGGTGTAGAAGAATTGAAGAAACAGAGATGCTTCTAATATAGCAAAAGCCTTCGCTGGCTTTTCAAAAATAAAAAAAATAAGAAAGCAAATCATGTTTACTAGAATTGTTATCCATAACACTACTAATGCCCTAATCACCACAAATGACGAAGGATGTGTAATTAAAAAAATTAAGAACAAACCCAGGCTCCACATAATGTTCCTATTGTTATATTTAAATCATTCATAACACTAAGCATGCCTCCAGGATGCATGACTAGTAAAGCTTGGTTTCAATTCAGGCATCATGATTCAGTGACACCTACCAAGTTCCAAGTTTGAATCATAAATATAGAAGCCCAAGTTTAAGTCTAAGCATACTTCTGAAAAGGAATAAAAGCTGCCATGCAGATCATTTAGGAACATATCTGGTATGATCAAAGAATATCAGCTCAATAGCTCTGCTATCAAATAATCCAGATCCCCTTCAAATTTTCCATTAGTTTCTAACATTATGGATATATAAGATCTTGTTCCAAAACAAATAAAAGAAGGAAAGAAATTAAGACAAATATTTAAACATAGAAGGCCGGGACAACCACATAATCTAAATCAACACTAAAATTTATCAGCACCTCATTTTCCTTCTCTAGGATCATAAGAAATACTGACAATATCAAAATGATCGTTTGAAGAAACCCATGCAAATATAAATGCAAGGTCATTTCAATTTAGTTCAAATTTAATGTTTAAGTCATATCAATTCATGTAGAGATATAGGGAACACGTACATTATGAATCCAACGAAGAGTAAAAGAACAAGAAAAGAAACTCACCCACTAGAGTCAGCCACATCCCTCGAAATCTTCATTTTCTTGGTCGTTCCCTTGTACAAATCCTCCAAACTACAAGTAAGTGTCCGCTCAATTGGCGCTGCTTTGCGGGGTGCAGTAGCAGAACCTTCTCCTCCTCCGCCCCTAAATGAAGCAAAAATGTCATCACCAAACATGCTCCTCGGAAAACTCGAGCCACCGGCACGCGACCCTCCCATGTCTCCCATCCCTCCGAAGGGACTAGAAAAGCCAAAAAACTCAGAGAATATATCGTCGGCGCTTCTCGGATTAAACCGAAACGTCGTGGAGCCACCGGCATCCGACATGCCAGAGAACCCACCTGCACCTGGGGGTGGGACCTGACCTTTCAGACCTTCTTCGCCGTACTGGTCGTAGACCGCCCGCTTTTGGGGGTCACTTAGAACCTTGAGAAACAAATAAGCAATTAAATTAAATATCAAATGAATAGAAGAGAGAGGATACGAGTTGCAGAAAAAGCAAAAGGAAGAACGAAAGAGATTAAGAATTGAGAATTACATCGTAAGCTTCCGAGATTTGTTTGAATTTGGCTTCTGCTTCTTTCTTATTGTTAGGGTTCTTATCCGGGTGCCATTTCATGGCGAGTTTCCTATAAGCTTTTTTCAAGTCATCTTCCTTGGCGTTTCGGTCTACCTGTAAAACCTTGTAGTAATCCACCCCCATCTCCACTCCCTCTGCTATCTCTCCGTCCCTGCGTCTGTTTTATTACCTTATCTGAGTTTTTGGCCGGCTAGGTGAGACGACTGGAGTCTGAAGCGACTAGCGACTAGCGTGTAGCGAGCGAAGGGCCACGGGGAAGGGAAGCCTGAAGCCTGAAGCCTGATTCGTGAATCGGGGTTTAGAGTTAGAGATGGGCCTGCGGACTCTGTTTAGGCCCATATGAGCTACCAAGCCAAGCCCTAAACAAAATGGCCCATTATAAGCTCAACTCAAGCTGGATGGGATTGGGTTGGGATGTCTGGTGTCTCATTGTCTCATTGTCTCATTTCACTCTCACAGGCTAGAGGCTATATCGTATTAAATTGGCCTTTTCGTGTTCTAGGCTTCTATAGCACCGTTTATTTTGTCGTGTAGTGGCCCATGGGATCTGCTTACAAGTTACAAGACGGAATGAACCGCACGACTGTAGTCTCTAGATACGGTATGACAACCATCGGATTTCCATAGAATAGTACAGTTGTACGTGGAATCTTTCCTCTGGTGGGTGGAGTCTACAGTTACACGTGTAGTTCTTTAGGATGTGTTTGGCATGCTTTCAAATAAATTAATTCCGATGAAAATTTTTGTCATTCTAAGAATAATTTCCAAAGATTTCCCACCAAACATTACTTGTATTTCATTCCATTCCATTCCATTCCAGCGGAATGTAGCTCGGCTCACATCGCAAACCCAAAAGGCAAAAGGCTATCACGGGTATGCCCTCCCAAACAGGTCTCTAAATATCCACACATATTATATAGTTGAGATCATGCAAAACTATTAACGCGTATTTTATATGATTTGCCGGTTCCTCAGTTCCCCCGTAACCATGGGTATGTTTATTTCTAAATTATATTTTTAGCTGTGTAGCCCCACAGCGTTCCACAACACATTCAAGCCGTGTATTGAAAATATCTCCTGATGATGATACCAGAAGTGATAATGTTATTATCGGGAGATGTTCATAATACATGACGGGGATGTGTGGTGGGGTGTTGTGGGGGGCAATTTGGTGGGGGGCATATTTGAACTCTTATGCAGTTTCTAATGAGGCATACAATATTCCTAAGTATGTGGATTTTTTGTTGTATTGCTTTAGGCTGTATTTGGTTTCATAGGTGTTTATCGACAAAACGCCACATAGGCATTGGCGTTTATTGTATATAAAGCAAAATAAAATAATTGTTTAGTTTCACTGTTTATGATCAAATAAATGATAGAAAACTGAAACGTTTTGATTTTTGTGCATGGGACATTTGGGGAAACGTCAAATTCTTGTTTCCCCCAATGTCCTAACGTTTCTTGAAACCAAATGCTGATGCGTCACACTTTAATGGGTATTAATCTGAGGTGGAGAGTAAAAAAACATTTAAAATAAAATCCAACCAAACAACAAAAACAGGAAACATTTAAAATAAAAAATGCTTAAAGTGAAAAAGTATAAATAAACGTTTAAAGTGAAAAAGTACAAATAAACGGCCTATCCATAAATGACCATGAAACCAAACACATATTTAGTGTTACCTTCAACCCAATTCCTCTTTGCTCTTGGCCCTAACTTGACAATAATTTTAAAGGACTAAAGTAGGCAGATTAGATCAAGTTCTAAGCCAATTCATGCCCAATCCTAGGATTTGAACTTTGGGTTTAAACAATGGCGGATCTATGTAGAAGCCAGTGTAGGCAATTGCCCCAACTTAAATTTGAAACTACTTTATATGTATATGAAGAAATTTAATTTTTTTTTTTACAATTGCCCCCACTCAAATAAAATAGTAGGGGATCAAATTTTCTTAAATGTGATATTTTTTTCATGGTTTTATAAGTCCTCAGAGGTGAATCCACAGGTGTGCCCCCACTAACCAAAGGTCTTGGATCCGCCACTAGATTTAAATTCATCCAACTCAAGATTGAAGCCTAAGTTTGCCAACCCAGATCTCCGGCATGTGCCGGCTCAACAAAGTCAATTGGGTTTTACACTTTTACATCTCATTCAATCTTCGTAATTGAGAAAACTTTGACTGTTCATGCTTGACAGTTTTGATTTGTTAGCAGAGTTTGACACTTGAACTCCCCGACAAATCGGCAATGCATCCAGCAATGATACATTGGGAGAGACCTACATTTATGGGTTCAATTACGATGACTGAAAGACATGATACCGAAAAAACTTATGACCAATCAACCAACATCATAAAAATAATAACCAATCAAGTGAGTTTTCATCAAATTAGGGATTTTGATTGGTCAAAATCTTTCAAATATCATGTATTTCTAACATCATAATATGAATTAAACTATTATGAAATGTCAAAATTATTTCAACTTAGAAGACAATCATTAACACATTATATTACACATACGAGATAAAATTACACTTCATAAAATTTTTAGGCTAGAAAACTTACAGCAAAGTTCTTAACAGACTATGCTGAAGCGGAACACAAATTCAGAAACTATGCTCGAGGCAAAAGGAAGAACAAACTCTATGCACTCAAAACACTCAACCTTACTATAGGAGATTCTTTAGAACTTTAAACATAATACAAAGGTACTTGAAACCAAATGCCCCTTCCTTCCCCTCTCGGCTCTTTATATCATGATTTTTAAAAACGAATAGGTGACCGAACCTGTCAGGGTCCGGTAACCGGTTTGAACGGATGGTCCGTTTTGATAAAAAAATAAAAGATTGGAAAACGGTCAAAACTGTTCGAACGATTAACCGGCCGGTTCAGCGGTTTGCTTATCAAAATCAATGGTTTTAGGGGAAAAGGCAGTTTTGGAGGAAAACAGAACCAGTCAGGTGACCGATTCCCAGTTTTTCTAGTCCGACCGTCCGGTTCGGTTTTGAAAACAGTGCTCTGTATAGGTAAATATGAGGGCATTACTCCTTCCTAAACCTAGGAATAAACCCTTTTCTTATCTAAAACTTTGTCGTGAATTAGAAAGCACAGTCAATGAAGTAGAGACAGCCCAAGGTGGCCCTGCATAGGGATGCAAGTCAAGCGGGTTGGGCTGGGTTTATGGTTAACCCAGGCCCAACCCTAAGATTTGGGTTTAAGGCCTGAGCCCAAGGTCAAGTTTGATCTTTCCAACTTGAGCCCAGCTCGCATTGTGATATGATGCACTCTAATTGGCCAATGAATCTACTTTAAAACTATACATTTATGGTTTCATTTATGCAAATATGTATACATATATGTATGTATGTATGTAAATACATATCTATATATATGTATGTAGGAATATGTGTAGTCGGACCAGGCTCAATCTACCTCTGGGGTAAGCCCGAGTCCAACACAAAAAAAATAAAAAACCTAAATTATTAAACATGAGCCAGCCAACCTAAAGACCGAAAACATACATACATACATACATACACTAGTAATTAAGCACATGCATTGCACATTAGAAATTTTTCTTCATATTAATTACATGAATTTTAGACATATCATAGTTAAGATAGAAATTGAAAATTAACAAAAGTAACAATATGATTAAAAATAAACTTAAATGCTTGTAGCAAATAACAATTGTTATTATTATTATTATTATTATTATTATTATTATTATTATTATTATTATTATTATTATTATTATTATATTAAATTAAATTTTGTATTGCATTTTTATCATAAATAAAAATAACTTCTATTTTTACAATTATTTTTATTTAATATGATGAACATATAATATTAGAATACATTTTCATGGGTTTCTTTGAAAAGCTGGATCGTTGACCCACCATCTAGATAAGAAAATAGGTTTGCTTTTGGATTAGTTTTAAATTAGGGGAAATTATAGTCGAAACCAGTTGTACATTTAAAACTAGGCTACAAGTTGGTCCATTAACCAACTAAACTCTAACAACCGACTCTACATTTCAAATTATAAAAACCCTCGCCATGTCATTGGTGACTTATGTGGTTGTTGCCAATATGGGACTCTTAATCCATGTTGGACACAACAAAAGCTTATACCAAAATTGCCCTTTAATGTTGGGTGATTGAAAAATAAAAAAGGGTTTTTAGTCTCTCTCTCTCTCTCTTAATCTCCCTCACACTCTCTCACTTTCACTGTCATCTTTATCTACTCAACAACTATGTTATTTGAAAATAAATAAAAATGGTTTTTGGCTTATGTATTTACGTTCTCTGTATCAATTTCTCTCATTCTCTCCCTCTCTCTACCTATTGTTCTCCTGCAATCTCTTTCGTTCTCTTTCTCAGTTGATCTCTCATTCTCCCTTAATTTCTATCGTTCTCTCTCAGTTTCTCTCTCACTCCCTCTCTCATTCTTTTTTATTTCCTTACACACTTATATGGTATTAATTAGATCATATAGAAGAACATGAGATCAAGTTGGTATGGTTCAAAAATCATTACACCAATTTGATAAAAAATCATAATAAAATCTTGGCTATGAAATTTACACCAACTGGAGAACGATAGAGATTGAGGGAGGAGATATTGACTGAGAGGGAGAGTGAGGGAGAAGAATGAGAGAGATTGGGGGAGAACGATGTAGATAGATAGATAGAGAGAGAGTGAGTGATTTGGCTACGGACCGAAGCTTAGAGAGTGAGAGAGATAGAGGGAGTGAGAGATCGAGAGATGACTATGAGAGTGAGAGAGAAGGGAAGGAGATTGAGAGATAGGGGAGTGGCAAAGAAACTGAAAACCTATTTTTGGTATAGGCTTTTTACTATGTCTAACATGGATTAAGAGTCCCATGTTGGCAATAACCACATAGGTCTCTGATGACATGATAGGGTTTTTTATAATTTGAAATGTAGAGCCGATTTTGACTATAATTTTTCCTTTAAATTATATATTTAATTTACATTATATAAAGTATTTTTTACTTATCACACTTAATTTTTGTTTGTCTATGGTATCATTTGACTCAAACCACTAACCTACCATCTAAAAAGAAAAATAATTTGATTTCTAGGTTAACATTAAATTTTGTATTACATTTCCATCATTATTTATTAATCCATTTGACCCCAAATGGTCGAATTGCTTGCCCACCACTAGGAGGGAAGAAAATGGTTTTGTTTTCAAATTATTTTTCAAAATATTTATTTTTATACTATTAAAATTAATATTATGGATTTAATTACAAGAATTTAATGATGAGAA